GGGGAACCGCATGCGAGCACCCCCACTGGGGCCTACAGCGGAGCTCCATATGGGGCCACGAAACGCTTGCCCTGGGTAGGGGATCCGCATGCGGGCACCCCCACTGGGGCCTTCGGTGGAGCTCCCTATGGGGCCACGAAACGCTGCCCTGGGTGGGGGAACCGCATGCGGGCACCCCCACTGGGGCCTTCGGTGGAGCTCCTTATGGGGCTACGAAGCGCTGCCCTGGGTGGGGGAACCGCATGCGGGCACCCCCACTGGGACCTACAGTGGAGCTCCTTATGGGGCCACGAAGCGCTGCCCTGGGTGGGGGAACCGCACGCGGGCACCCCCACTGGGGCCTTCGGTGGAGCTCCCTATGGGGCCACGAAGCGCTGCCCTGGGTGGGGGAACCGCATGCGGGCACCCCCACTGGGGCCTGCGGTGGAGCTCCCTTTGGGGCTACGAAGCGCTGTACTGGGAGGGGGGGTGGGGAGGAGGGGGGAGGAGGAAGGGGGAAGGAGGTGGGACGCGGGGCGCTGTCTCTTCAAAACGAGGACCCAACACCACAGGATGGTTGGGAAAAAACAGTCCCTGTCCCTCTACAGGAGGAGTATTTAAAAAAGGGATCAAATCTCAGCCAGCGTTGGATCCAAATAGAGAGGAGGAGAGGAGGAGGACGAGAGGAGGATGGGAGGAGGACGACAGGAGCACCGGAGCAGGATCGGAACAGAAACGGAGGAGTAACATCAAACAACCGCAAGCAAGCAAGCGGAAGCAAGCAAGTGCAAGCGAGCAACAACAAGCAAGCAAGAGCCAGCGAACAAGTTCAAGAAAGCAAGGGCAAGCAAGAACAAGCAAGCGAGAGCAAGCACGCAAGATCAAGCAAGCAAGTGCCATTGGAAAAGAGGGGGTGCCATTGGAAAAAGGTGGGAGGGGCATTGGAAAAAGGGGGGGTCCTAAAGACCAATTACTTATGATGAGCTCGGACTCCTACAGGGCAAGCCTATTTGGAGAAACACTGTATGGGGACAATTCTTTTGTATATTTGAATATATATATATATATATATATATACATATATATATATATATATATATTGTATGTATGGGGTATGATTTTTTCATCCAAAATAAATTCTGCCTGTAGGGGAGCATGCCCGACCTGAGGGTAGGCAGAGGGGGGAGGCACAGGAGGAAGGAGGAGGGTTGAGGGGCAGCGGGAAGCGAGGAGGACGAGACCGAACACAAGGAGGAGGGAGAGGGACGAGGCGACGGCAAACTCTCAGCCGTGCCAGCCGCGCCGTGCCCCTGCGTTGCGTAGCAATGTCAGGGGCCGCTCAGACGCCGCCGCAGGTTTAGGCCCCTCGGTGTGGCACAGTGCAGACCTTCTCTCGGAGGACGGCCGGTCGAGACACGGGGCGGCTCTCCCCGCGGCGCTCCTCGTCGAGCGGGGGCCTCCTGCTGGCTGCTCGTCGCCGCGGCCGGGCGCGCCTCGAGCAGCAGATCGGGGCAGGCTCCCCGGGAGGGGCCCCGGGGACCAGTGTGAGTGTCGGGGGTCCCCAAACGTGGTGGTGAGAACACCCGGTGGTGAGTCTGGGGCGAATTGGTGTCACCACCGGGTTTTGGAACTCGGGTGGTGTTTCGAGGATGTCTCGAGCGCGGGTGGTCCCGGGAATCACGAAACCCGGTGGCCCGGTGGTGACCCTGTGTCCCCAAACCTAGAAATTACGTTTTTGGGATTTCAGGTCACCACCGGGTGTCTCACCACCTGGTTTGGGGGCCACCAAGAGTGGACTCTGGCTGGGCGGGAGAGCCGCGCCGTGGTCTCCGAGGGGCCCTCTGCCAAATTCGACTTGTACACGCTGTTCGTTTCTGATGATTCGGAAGTTCTTGGGTGTTTTTGGGGGCCAAGAGCCTCTCATTTCCGATTGTTCCATCCTGGGCCTCTTCCTGGTTAGAGACGAGCACAATTAGAAGTGAGCACGATTAGAAATGAACGACGTGTACGTCTCAAGGGAGATTGTCGCACCGAGTGATTGTCTATCTGAGTCCACTGCGATCATGGCCATGCCCAGGTATTCACCGAGGTGGCACCGCTTTTTATAGACTCTTGTGTTTCACTCCAGCGCCCTTCGTGCGAATGGTGAGGCGGTGAGGACTTCGAGCTCGCCACAGGTCACAGCAACTGTACATTTGCAAATCGACATGGTATCGAAGCAACGTGTGACCTTTCAAACCAACCCTTGGTCTCTTTCCTCCTACTCTTCATTCCTCCATTCTCCTCACTTGTCGGACAATCCTCCTTGATTGGCCTGCGATTCCTCCATTCATGCTCTGGCTTCCTCCATCCCTCGAGTCCCCGCTCTCCTCCATCCTCTTCTATCTTCCGTTCCCTCTCCTCCGCCTCATCCTTCATCCTCATCCTCTTACTCTTCCGTTCCCTCTCCTCCACTTCATCCTCCATCCTCTCCTCCATCCCTCATCCTCCTCATCCTCCATCCTCCATCCTCCATCCTCCTCCATCCATCGTCAGGCTCCTGGCGCTGACTGTGCGGACAGACCAGGGTGCCGAGCGGCTCCGCAGGGTCAGCGAGAAAAGCGTCTGGCCTGAGCTGATCATCGGGTCATGCGGGCACCGGCTGCGCAGCCCCGCCACGCTCCATCGGTGCCAGGAGAGCCTTTCTGCGCGGCTGGCCCGCCCGCGCTCGGCGAGTGCCGAGTGGAGCCCGTCGGGGGCCCCTCGCTCTGCAGAGAGACCTGCTGCGCCCGCCGCGCCTGCGGGATGCCAGCGCGCGGGCGACTCGCGCGGGGGGGCGGCCCCTTGCTGCATACGGCAGGGGTGCCTGTGGCTCAGAGGAGCGTTCCCCAGGCGCGCCCTGGCCCTTCCGCACGCGCTCCCAGGCACTCCCTGGGCACCTCCCCGGGCGACCTCTGGGTGCTCACTCGGCGCTCTCCGAGAGCTCTCCTCTAGGCCTCCCAGATGGGGTCGGAGCAGGTGGTGTCGGAGGATCGCGCCGCATCGCCGATGCATCGCCGATGCGGCTCGATGCGGAGCCCGATTTCTTTCACGCGACCGTCGTCGATGCATCGCCGACGTCGCTGATGCATCGCTGGCGCATCGCCGATGCATCGCCGATGCATCGCCGAGGCATCGCGGACATATCGCCGATGCGGCGCGATTTTCCGACCCCATCTACTCCGACCCCATGTATCCAGGAGCGAAATAATGACGTACACGTACACGAATCAGCGCTGGTTTCGAGAGTACGCATTGCGCAACATTGCTCGTATCGCGCGGCCAGTCTCGCGGATCGAGGGGCCGTCTTCATTTACATAGCTGGGCGCGTACGTCCTTTGTGGGTTCCCCATCTATGAGGCCTCTACCTCCGGGCGCCCCCTTCTCCTCCTCCTCCTCCTCCTCCTCCTCCTCCTCCTCCTCCTCCTCCTCCTCCTCCTCCTCCTCCTCCCCTCCCCCCCCTCCTCCTCCTCCTCCTCCTCCTCCTCCTCCTCCTCCTCCTCCTCCTCCTCCTCCTCCTCCTCCTCCTCTTCTCCTCTCCTCCTCCTCCTCCTCCTCCTCCCTCCTCCTCCTCCTCCTCCTCCCCCTCCCCTCCTCTCCTCCTCCTCCTCCTCCTCCTCCTCCTCCTCCTCCTCCTCCTCCTCCTCCTCCGCCTCCTCCTCCACAATTACTCAATATGAAAATACTCTCCCTCTTCCCCTGATGGCGTCCGGGTGATGGCGGCGCATTCTCCGCGTACTGTTTTTTACACACAGGATGCCCGGGAAATCCCGGGAAACGACTCTCGCTGAGGCGCCGGCGTCATTTTCGGGCCGAACGCCCCCCGCGTATTGTTTTTTTACACACAGGATTCCCGGGAAACGGGTTTTCGCCTGCGTTTTTTTTTAATGATGCTCTCGCTGAGGCGCCGGCCTCATTTCTGCTCCCGAATCGTTCCGAATCGTGCTCCCGCTGCAGCGTGGGCCTCATTTTCGGATCGGTGTTTGGCCTCCGTCGTTCAGGATGGCGTTCTCGCCCCAGCGCGGGCCTCTTTCTCGCGCGCCCATCCGCCCGCCACCACCGCGCCGCACCACCACCACCACCACCACCACCACCACCACCACCACCACCACCACCACCACCACCACCACCACCACCACCACCACCACCACCACCACCACCACCACCACCACCACCACCACCACCACCACCACCACCACCACCACCACCACCACCACCTCCACCTCCACCTCCACCTCCACCACCACCACCACCACCACCACCACCACCACCACCATCACAACCACCACCAGCACCAGCACCACCACCAGCACGAGCACCAGCACCAGCACCACCACCACCACCACCACCACCACCACCACCACCACCACCACCACCACCACCACCACCACCACCACCACCACCACAACAACCACGCACACACGCACGCACGCACGCACGCACGTGCACCACCACCCACTACGCACGCGCGCGCGGAGCCACAGGTCCGCTACGACACGCGTCCGCGGATAGAGAAAATCAGCGCCATGGTAAGGGATGGGAGGGAGGGGTAGGACGTCAGATATGACGCGAGAGCACCTAGCGTGTCCTTCTCCCCCTCCTCCTCCTCCTCCTCCTCCTCCTC